GCTTTCTGGCCTGCTTGCGCCGTGTGTGGGGCAGGTCCGGGAAGTGCTTCGTCTCAGCGGCTCACAAGCCCCCACGCCCGAGACGAGCCTTCCTGCGTGTCCTGCCCAGAGCCCCTCGCACCGGGAGCTTCCGGAGAGCGAGGTGCTCCTGGCCCCTGTGAGTGTCCCGCCCCGTTCTCCGGTCCCTTTGGACGGCTTTCCCCGCCTTCAGTCCCATCCTCCCGCGGATCCCTGATCCGTGCTCTGCCGGGCACCGTCCCTCTGCTGGGCTCCAGAGGGGGTCACTGTGCAGGTCATCTGTGTCTTCTCAGTGTGCGGGTGGCCAGGCACCGTCCCTCTGCTGGGCTCCAGAGGGGGTGGTCTTGCAGGTCATCTGTGTTTTCTCAGTGTGCGGGTGGCCAGGCACCGTCCCTCTGCTGGGCTCCAGAGGGGGTCGCTGTGCAGGTCATCTCTGTTTTCTCAGTGTGCGGGTGGCAGCACTTGTCAGACGCCCACACTGCAAGTGGGAGTGGAAGCTCCTTCTAATGGTCTTCAGTCCAGCCCAGACCCTGCGTTCTTTGCATGCTCTCCGCGTTGAGCAGTGCTCTCGTCGGCGTTTGCTTTACCGGAGCCTTGGCCCGGCCCCTTTTTCGGGCGGTCCCCGTCCTCGCCCTGTCGGGATGTGCACTGCAGCACGCTTCACCTGCCTGCGTGCTTTGGTTTCCTCCCTGGGGCGGGAGCTCCGCGAGGCCCGGGCCCGTTCTGACCACCACACTGACGTGTGTCCAGGCACGGCTCCGTACCTGGGCCGCGGGGGTACTGAGCATCTGCTGGACAAAGGACTGGACGTGTGAGCCACTCCTCTTAACTGGATTTGGGGGGGGGCGGTTCCCAGCAAGAGGTGGAGGGAGAGAGAGAGAAACGTGGACTTGTGGTTCCACTTATTCATGTATTCGTTGGTTGATTCCTGTTTGTGCCCTGACCGGGGATCGAACCCACAGCCTTGCTGCGTCAGGACGAGGCTCTGACCAACTGAGCTTCCCGGCCAGGGCCCATGTGACCCACCCCTGAGCTGTCCTCCCGCCTCCCAGAGCCACCTGGCTCGGGGTCATCACCCAGATGCCGGCGTGCTGACGGGACAGGCCCGGCCCCTCCCCTGTGCCCGGCTCTCGCACTCCTTGCGCTGGTCGCAGGTCGGCCAGGAAGGCTTCTGTCTGTCTAAACTTTCCTCTCCAGGGGCTCAGCCATGTTCAAGTTCATGCCCCTCAGTTTCGTCTGTGCTCTTAGAGCTATCCTGCGTTCTTTCGCCTGCTCCTGGGAGAGCACGGAGGACCTTTGTTCTTCGCTCGCCCCGGCCACATTCTTCGCCCGCCGCACCACCCAATACCTGCTTATCGGGTGCGGCCCTGGCACCCCTTCTAACGTTTCCACGGGGACAAGGCCGCTTTTTGTCTGCACCCCTGTCTCACCGCAGCGCCACCCGGGGCGCCGGCTCGCTCGCCGACACTTGTTGTCCAGAGTGCCTGACCTTTCCCAGGTGCCCCACCGACTCCTCCGTCGGCCCTTCGAACACTGAAAAAGTTTTTGTGATGTTAGTTTGGAAGGATGCTGACTGGAGATGTTAAAATCCGAGCATTATTTAGATGGATTTTTGCTTTGTGTGTTTTTTCCCTTCGTTTTCTTTACTTTTCTCACTGCATGTGCAATATTTTGTTAGCTTGTCTGGTATCTGAGTCGGAGCCAAATTAAGACTTTTGTCCTATCAGGGTAGCACTTCGTTGTCATTTGTGACACCGTGACCGTTCCTGCTTCCCTCGCCTTCGCCCCGTCCCTCCTGTTTCGTCTGCTTAGATCGCCGGTGTCTGCCCCGGAGCCCCAGATGTGCCGTCCTCCAGCCCAGCCTCCCTCTGGTTGCGGCCTCACCCCGGGGACCTGTGGGGGAGGAAGCCCTGTGGGACTCCCCCACCCACCCCTCCCACCCCCAGAGATCAGGTGCACGGCCTTAAATATGTTTCCTTAAGTAATAGGTGGGGTCTCGTACAGTTTTCAGACTCCATGTCAATGGTGCCGTGTGCCGTGTTGTGCTTGAACACTCGTGCAGCTTGCTGCTTTCATCCAGCGTCAGGTTGGGAGACCTGCCCCTCCCCCGCACCCCCTCCCCCGGTGGGCGGGAGCAGCTCCAGGCCGGGCACCCTGGGCCTGCGCAGCGGCTCCTGGGGTGAGCCCGCGGTGCTAGGCAGTTCCTCAACCTTCTCTGTCAGAAACAAGGCTGCGAGGAAAAACACACCGCGACGCATCCTGGGGGTGTGTGCAGACCTCTGTGGCGTGTCCCCGGCGTGGCCTGGCCATGTGGCATGCCGGCACCCCGCTTTCTCAGTCACCCCCAGAGGGGCCCACTCCCACTCTCACCCACGCACGCCGGGGCTCTGGCTGCCCAGCACCCACGCCCCTGCCCCCACCCGCCACTGCCCCCACCCGCCGTTGCCCTGGGGCTTCCAGACAGTGTGTTTTTTGACACTTTGATGAGTGCAAATTCCTCTCTTATTGTGGCTTAACTGGCATTTCTTTAACTACTAATGAGCGAGTATATTTTCGTCGTTATTGGTCATTCGGACCTGGTGGGGCAGGTCCATGTGGCCCCTGCTCTGCTCTCCGCACCGGCTGTCCTTCCTGTGTTTCTGTCGCCTCCGTTTCACTTGTTTCTTTTTCCGGCACGTTCTTGGGAGAAAGTGATTTCAGGAAGCATCCGGTGCTGTCTGACAGGACTCCGCAGGTAGCAGAGCCCTGGTCTTAGGCAGACCGGAGCTCGAATCGCAGCCCGGGTACTGGCCATGAGACTCCAGCAAGTTATCTGACACCTGGGAACCTCCGCTTGCTCATCCGTGAAATGGTAAAAGTCACCTGTCTTCGCTGGGTTATGATGAACATCATTTCTTTTTCATTTCATTCGCTCAGCTCTTTGTGGATTGCTCCTGGGTGCTAGGAAGGGCCTAGGTGCTCAGCGCAGGGGCGACACCCTGGGTCCGGTCCACTGCCCGGCGCCTGTGTCCTGCGGCAGTGTCCCGAGTCCGTGGTCCCTCACTGCCCTGTGCACCCTGTGGAGGGCGCCCTTGCGGCCTGGGAAGACGCGGCTGCCGCGTCACCACATGCAGATCAGGACCAGCGGAGCTGGCGCCCGGAGGCCAGCAGTGACCCTGCTGATGGTCACTGCCACCCAGTGGAGATGGGGCTGCCCTCCCTGTTCCTGCCGCCTCCCCAGAAGTGCAGCTGAGCCAGAAGAGACCAGAGGACACTGACCAGGGGGCCGGCGGTGATGCCCAGGCCCAGGCAGGGCCCAGCGGAAGGGCAGTAGCGTCCTCCCGTACTTTTGTTTCTGGAGCAGTGCGGGTGGAAGTTGGTCAGTTTTGTTGGGCAACCAGCTGGTTCCATTCTATAAGAACCAGTTTTGGGTGTGATTGATTTACCTCTTTTGCTTTTCTGTTTTCCATTTCATTCATTGTAACTGCTTATTCCTTTCCTGCTACTTACTTCGGAATTAATTTGCCTTTATTTTTTTTTTTTCAGTCTTCCAAGGTTCCAAGCGTAGATTATTGATTTGAGAACTTTCTTCTTTTCCACGTGCTGCCTCAGCTACGTCCGGTACACTTCAGTTCTGTGTTTGCTTCTGCATTGGATTCAGCGCGTTTTCTGAGCCCCCTTGAGTCACTCCGCCGCGGTGCCCCTGCACCCACGGTGCCGTCGCTCTGGCTGCTTTCGAGACTGCGTCTCAGCCCTCGGTCTTGAGCAGTTTGGGTGTGAGGTTTCCAGGCCTGATTGTCTTTCAGTTTATCCTGTTTAGGATTTTCAGCTTCTTGAATCTAAAATATATGTCTTGCACTGAACTTGGGGGTTTTTGGAGCCATTATTTCTTTAAGTGTTTTTTTTTTCTGCCCAGTTGTCGTTTTCTCCTTCAGGGACTCCAATAGCACAATGGTGGTGTTGTTCTTTTGATGCTGCCCCACAGGTCCCGGAAGGTCTGTTCACTTCTCCCCGAGTTTCCTTCTCCCCTTTACATCAGATGTTTGCTGCTGCTGGATCTTCAGGTTCACGGCTCTCTGTCTGCTTCGCCTCGTCCCGTCACGAGCCTGCAGGCAGTACTTGCTGGGAGCCCCACGTGGTTCCAATGTGCAGAGAACTTGAGAGCCGCTAGCTGTGTGCCTGCAGGCCTCCCCACCCTCACCTTGAAGAGTGAGGGCGACCACGCCTGCCCGCTGCCGCCCAGGGCTGCCGGGGCTTTGCGTGTCATCTGGGGCGCCCAGCAGTTTGCACGGTAGCACACGTGACCAGGTCTAGGGAGCCGAGACCCACCAGTACGCAAGGGGCCCCACCACTGGGCAACGCGGGGCGCCGCCACTCAAGGCGCTGCCAGGGGCCAGGGGCTAGCGCCCCGACGTTCCCCGTCTTTGAGTGTGGACATGGCTGCAGGCCAGCCACTCAGTGCGTGGCTGTGACCTGCTGCTGTCGTCCCAAGTTGTGGTGGCACTCGGCAGACCGTCCCCAAGGGTTTTCAGGGGACACAGACACGTTTGCCGTCAGCCTCGGGGCTGGTACCGAGTGCCCAGGGCACCAGAGTAGGGGTGGCCAGGGCGGAGAGACCAGAACTTCCACCGTCACATGTTGTTACCGGAAAATGAAAACAGGAATCTCTCCAAAGTCTGTGTGCAGCCTGTGACGTGGGATTTTCGGGTTAGCTCAGCTGAGGAGTGAGGCTGCTGCCGAAGAGTCGCTGTGCGTGGCCCTGGGCGCTGGGGCCACAGGCGGGGCTCCGAGGACGCCCCTCGCCCGTGCCGAGTGTGCTCAGCGGCGTGCGCACTCAGTGGAGGCCACGTGTCAGTGGTCGAGAGTCGGGCTGTGCACGCTATGTTGGCGTGGGCTGTATTGTTAATGTTGAACAAAATGTGGCGCATTTCAAATTCCCATAAATGTGCAGATTGATTTAAAAGTAAATCTTTTAGCTAAAGCTATTCTCTTATTATTGACAGAATATCCAAGGAATCTCCAAGCACCCGATTCAGATGACTAGACCTCGGGATTATAGAGGTAATGCATTTCCTTCTGCTTCGCTGAAGTCCTGGGTAACTTTTCTTAAAGCCCCGAGAGCTGCCTCCTGGAGCTCCCCGCTGAGCCCGCCCGGCCAGGACCCCAGGGCACGTCGTCATGGAAGAACAGAGCACGGCCCCGCCCTCGCAGCGGGCCGCGAGTGAGCGCAGATGAGAACTGTGCAGGGAAGGCAGCTCCCCTCCTACCTTCTTCCCCCACCCCCGCCCGCGATCTCCCAGTAATGGAAAAGCACCTGTAGAGCTGGCTTCTAGTCAAGTCTGAACATTACTGGAGCTGTTTGCGCAAGCGTGCTTCCTCTTAAGCTGCCTCACTGTCACACTGCCGGGCGCATTTCTGAACAACTCCTCACGAGTGTCCGGAGCTCAGACTCCCTTGACCGGGGATGGCGTCACGGTCACTCCGTACGAGGAGCGGCTGTGGGCGAGCGCATGGCCACGCTCACCCCATGTCCTGTGCCCACACCTCAGGGTCGGCGGAGGGCACCCTCACCATCGCCCCGAGGACCGTGTTCGTGGCGGCCGACGGGCACAGCTTCCTGGCAGCAGGTACGGGCAGACCACGGCAGAGGCCCTGCGTGTTCCCCCGAGCTCACGCATGCGCTTCGCGCCATTAAAACGTTCAGAAATTGAGTCATTCAAAGGTCCTTGCAGAACTCACTCTGTAAAATGAACCTTGAGGCACAGAGTTCCTGTGCACAGCAAACAAGCACAGTCCGCGCCCAGGGTCCCTCGCTTCACCGTGTCCAGATGGCAGGTCCCTACCCCGGCCCGCCCAGCCCGCCCCTCCGGCCGGCCTGGCCCTGCGGGCTGCTCTGCGGGCCTCCAGCCAGAGTCCTCATCCCCAGATGGTGCCTCACCCCTCCTTGGCTGCCTCTGTGCCTTGGCTCGGGCGTCACTGTCTTTATGAGGCGCACGCTGACCCCATCGCAGCAGCACGTTCCTGCACCTCCCCGCCCAGCCCTTCCGTGGCGCCTTGTCTCACCCACCACACTCCTCCCCGCACAGAGGGAGCTCCACGAGCAAAGGGGCTGTGGCCTGTTCACCGCCACAGCCCAGCACGCAGCCCAGCACGCAGTAGGCCCTTTCTGCAGTTCTGATGTTCAGACTGAACGGAGGAACGAATGCGGCCCCCTCCGGAGGTCGTGCCAGCCTCACGGAAGGCTGCAGGGTCTCTTGGACTAGCAGACACGGGATGGCCAGTGGCCCTGCTGACCCAGGACCCTGGCCGAGGGGCGGGGTGGACCCCGATGCTGAGGTGGGGGTGGGGGCTGAGGCGTGGGTAGCAACAATGAGGGACGTTGTCGGTAGGTTCTGAACTGACGCGGAGCTCTTTCTCACAGACTTTGCGCAGATTGAATTGCGCATTCTTGCACACTTATCTGGGGACCCAGAACTTCTGAAGTTATTCCAGGAATCCGAAAGAGACGATGTGTTTTCTACCCTGACCTCACAGTGGTAAGATACACGAGCTCACAATAGTATCAGATCTGCAGGAATGCCTGCATGTTAAAAGCCTGAAGTTGCTCCAAGGCTATTTTCACGAGAAGGAAATAATATTTTTCCCTGGAGGCTAATCTTCTTGAAACGGAGAACAGGTAAGTGGGGCGCCAGGGGTTTCCTGCACGTGGAAACCGGTCGTGCTCAGCCGCCAGGACGGGGGTCCGCTGCTGGAGAATGCAGCAGCAAACACTGGGAACCTGGGCCGCGCCAGCCACGGGTCCCCTGCGGGGGACCGGCAGTGGGGGCAGCACAGAGCCCGGGGGCGCGGTCGCCCTGCCACCCCACCCCCACCAGGTGGGCCCGGAGCGCCACGGCTGCACGGGTCGGTCCTGCCCACAGCGACGCACAGCCCAGACGGGCCTAGAGGCGCCGCCTCTGGGGTCGTGGGGCAGAGCCTGCCCTTCCTTCCGGGTCAGCGTCCCCGTGAAGCCCCTGCCGCCCGCCTCCGAAGCAGGAGGGGGAGGGAAGGTGCCTCCCACACCCCCCCTTTGGCGGGGAGGGTGCGGGCCCTGCCCCGGAGCCCACCTCACCTCCCAGAGCCAGGGTGTCAGCCGGCACAGCCGTGAGGCGGGCTAGTCAGGGAGTGCTCTTCCAGAACAGGGAGGCCGGGTCACGGGCTCTCACCACGACCAGGCACGGCGCCGCCCGGAGCAAAGTCAGACTCGGCCACCAGGAAGCCGCGTGGCGGTGGGGGGCTGTGGGCCAGCTCTTGGGAAGGCCCCTGCTCCCTCCGCGGGGTCTCCTCTCCCTCCCAGCCTGATCTCATCCCCCGACCCCTGACCCCCCAGGTCACCCCCAGGAGTGATGCTGCAGGTGACGCCCCACGAGGGCTGCTCCTCCGTGTGCTCCAGCCCTCCCCTTCCCCCCTCGTACATGCACCCTGGGCCCGTGGTCACAGTCTGTTACGAGGGGGTGTGAGCCGTGTGGGGGCGGGGCCCCTCCTCTGGCCCAGTGCCCGTGCTGGCCTCTGCCCTCACTGCCCCCGACCCTCCCCAGCCACCAGGCCGGTCCAGGCCCACACCTCGCCCAGACCTTCCCCTCCCGGGGGCCTGGGAAGCTTTCTCCGGAGATCCATGTGGCTCGTCCCTCCCCAGTTCAGCGGTGGTTAGTGCCTTCACAAGGTTTTGCAGCCGTCGCCCCTGTCTAATTCCAGAACATTCCCATCACCCCAAAGAGCAGCCCCATGCCCATCAGCCATCACCCCCCCATTCTTCCGTCCCCCATGGAAACCACTAACCTGCTGCCTGTCTCTGTGCGTCTGTCTGTCCTGCACACTTCCTGTTGACGGGATGACACCGTGTGTGGCTCCTCTCACGGAGCACACTGTGGGCAAGGGCCAGCCGCGCTGTCCCGCAGGTCGGCACTTCACTCCTCTTTGTGGCTGAGTCGTGTTCCGACGGGTGGAGTGGTGCGCTCTGCTCGTCCCGGTGGGCAGGAGCAGACAGCGTTTCCTTTGCTTGCCCGCTCGCCCGTGTGTGGGTGTGTCTGGGTTCTTCCCGCCTTCTGGCTGTCACGAGTGGTGCTGCTGTGAACGGTTACGGGCGAGTTTTTGTGCGGCGGACACAGGCTTTCACTTCACTGGGGCGTGCACCAAGGAGTGGGATCGCTGGGTCACACAGTAATCCTGTGTTCTTGTTGTTTTCCATCGCGGGGAACTGGCGTAACATAAAACTCACCACCTGGGCCCAGGCCGGGCAGCTGGGCTGGTCGGAGCGTCGTCCCAGGGCGTCGGAGCCGCAGGTCGGGCTCCGGCCAGGAGACGACCAGCCGGGGTGTGGACGGGCAGAACCGCAGATCGCTGCCTCTCTCTCGCTCTCTCAGTCTCTCCTTCCCTCCCTCCCTCCCTCTCTCTAAAATCAGTAAATTTCAAAAAATTACCATCTTAGCCATTTTAAAATGTACAATACAGTGGCAGCTATGTTTGAGTTTTTGTGGAGCTGCTGAGCTAGTTTCCAAAATAACCACACCATCTCACACTCCCACAAATAGTGCGTGGCTTCCTGCGCGCTCTCAACACCCTTTATTGTCTGTCTTCCTAATTCCGCCGTCCCGGGCGGGGGTGACGTGGCGTCCCAGTATGGCCTGGACTTGCATTTCCCTGACGACTGCGGGCGTCCAGCCGCTTCTCCTGTGCTCGCCGCTTACTCTCGCTCTTCCTTCTCCTCCTGTCACACCTGGAGCAGAAGTGCACCCCGGGGCGTTGCGCTTGCCTCAGGCTTTTCTGTGCTTCCTCCCGTAAGATGTCCTTCTGTTTGCCTTCCCCTCCAGTCAGGATGTGAGACAGTACAGAGTTTTAAAGGCATGTGATCGAGTTGCTAACACTCCTGCCCTGTCTCCGGAGGTATGGAGTCTTATGGGAAGTCTTAGGAGGCGGGTTTTGCCTAGGCAGAAAGAGTATTTTGCTTATTTGATGCTTATTTGGTCCGTCTTGAGCTCTGCTGCCATCCCCGTGCTCTGATGGAGCATCAGAGGGTGTGCGAGGGTCCGTCTGCGGGTCCAGGTGACTGCGCAGGTCGCCGAGCATGCCCGTGGTTCAGTGGGCCCCAGGCCACCTGGGCTGTTGCTGACCCAGTGTGACAGCAAGTGTTCTCATCGGCGTGCGAGACAAAGGGTGCAGCCAGCGCAGTGCCAAGAGGGAAACGTATAGCACTGAACGGTCCCGTTAAAAATGAGGAAAGGTCTCAGTTTATCCACGAAGCCAGTCCTCCCCTGACACCTAAACCAGACAAAGAGAGTGAAGTTGAGGAAGACAAACCTCACTGCAGGCCCGCGTCACCCGGACCTTGGGGTCAAAGCCCTCACCCAAACCCTAGCAGGCCCGACCCAACGGTGTCTAAAGTAACTGCACAGCGTGTCCAAGTGGGGCTGGTGCCAGGCGTGCGAGCCTGGGGGTGTGTTTGAAAATCAGTCCAGCCCCCCACATGCTCACGCCAAAGAATAAGGACAATGTGACTGTGTCAGTCGACCCAGACAAAGCATTTGATACAATTCAGCCACCATTTATGACAAAAATTCTCAGGAAGTTAGAAAGAGAGGGGAGCAACCACAACTGGATGAAGAACGTCGAAAAAATACCTGCAGCTAAGGGCACATAATTTAACTGTGAAAGGCCGACTGGTTCCCCCCAAGATCAGGGATAACTCACTGATATTGGCTGTTGAAGTCCTAGCCATCGGTTAAGGCAAAAAAAAAGAAACAGATGGTGTACCTATTAGAAAGGAAGAAATAAAACTGTCTTTATTTGAAGACAACATGATTGTCTGTATAGAAAGTCCTAAATAATATAAAAAAAAATTAACTTGTAGAACTGATCAACAAGTTCAGCAAGGTCATGAGACACAGTGCCGACACAGAAACCAATTACATTTCTATGAGCCGACAACGAACGTGCAGAAACCGAAATTAAAAATGCAGCGCCACGTGCAGTCGCCCCAGGGACAAGGCAACACCGAAGTGTTCGGTTAACCAAGCACGCGCAGGGTCGCTGCGTCTCAGACCTCGGAGTGCTGGCGGAGGAGGTCCCGGGTCTGATGAGGCCTCCTGGGCCCCTGGAATCCAAGACGCAGCCTCACCAGTGGGTCGGTTTTCCCTAAAACGATCGCAGGTCTAACGGAAGCCCTACTAAAACCCAAGCAAAGCTTGTTCTGAAATCTGCATGAAAGGGCCCGGGCCTGGAGGAGCTGAAAGGGTGTCTCAACGGAGGAGGAGGTGGGGGGAGTCGCTGGCTGCTATGAGGACGAGGACGACTCGCAGTGACCCGAGAGAGCGCGGCGCTGGCCGAGGGGCGGACACCGAGGCCGGCGGGACTGAAAGGAGAAGCCGGAGAGGACCCACACGAGGCAGTGTGCTCCGTGGGTTTTTGGAAACGGCTTCAAGCACCAGGCAGGAAGTACTTCTCTTTAGACTCGTGCTCAGCCGCTCACGCACGAAGCCAGCTTGAGAAGTTCGTGTCCACACTGGCTGTGGTGTGTCCCTCCTGCGTTTTGTCCGCTTGCACACGAGGTCTGTCCGGAAAAAGCTCAGCGGTCGTTAACGTGACGGGCACCGTCTGCGGGACTCCGCCACCACCTGGAGCCTGGGAGGCCTGGGGGTGGAGGTGCAGCACCTCTGTCCTGAGCACCGGGCTCCAGTGCTCAGCAGCGGGGGCCCCACCGTCCCTGACGGTTCAAACTCAGCGGACCCACAGGGGTCCGTGCTGATTCCTCCCTTCCTGCCTCCCCCGCCCTGGATTCCAGCTGGGCCTGTGCTCCCTCCTCCCCCGGGGCCCCCTACACCTGCTGTCGTGGTAAGTTCCCGACTGCCCTCGCCGCAGAGTTCCCCTCACGCATCCCCACTGACTCCACCTTATCGCACTACGATGCGGTCTGAACGAGTGACCCCACTGGGCCTTCACTGGCTGATAACACTCGCCCCCCAGGCCCAGACGGCAGTGGCCACTGGGCGGGGCCGCCAAAGCGCTCCGTGAAACTCAGGAACAGAAGCTGCTGCCGTGCTGCTGTGCACGACGGCACATACCGACCGACCGGGACGGGGCCACAGCGTCCCCTGTGCAGGTGGCGGCTGCCTGCTGGGGACGCCCGGGGAGTCCGAGAGAGACAGCTCTCTGCTGGGGCCTGGAGGAGGACGAGGCGGCAGACCCGGGCAGAAAGGCAGATGGCGTGGAGGAAGCGGCGGTGGAAAGGGCACAGCACCTGGGACAGCGGAGGAGTAACCGTGTGCGAGGTCCAGACGGAGAAAAGGCGGAGAAACGGGGAAACGACGATCGATTGGAAAACCCCGTTCTGTGGAGACGCCACTGCCCCCACCCACGCTGACGTGCACGCAGAGAGTGTGCTGGTGAGCGCACCCAGCAGGTCCGGAGTTTCCAGCAGCTGCACAGGCTAGCCTGCCGTTCACGATGCGGAAGGACCGTCCTTGCCGGGGAGGGTTTGAAGAGGAGCCGTAGGGAAGCCCAA